CCAAATATAACAGAATGAATTTGGTTGTTTTGTTTGGGTTTTAGTAAGCGTTCTAAGGTACTTGCAACACACTTAGGTTATACTTATAAGTACCAAAGAATAGAAATGTTACAAGATAGTAACAAACACAAAAAAGGAGGAGAGATAAATAGGATGCTGACAGGAAAGTAGGAGCAAACTACTCAAGAGCACCCACTAACCACCCACATAGACAGGGTTTGTGGACAAAACGGGCTTAACGAATTGTAACTGGGAAAAAGGGCTTTACCTTCGAATTAACATAACGATTGGTCTTAAAGGCAGTAATAAATTTACCTTCAAGAGCAAGAGAACACCACAATCGAGATAAGGCGTTGGTGTGAGTCCTCAATTTTGAACCTGGGTGAATTTAGGTTTAATTATAAATAACTTAGATTGAAACCCATGAGCGAAACAGTCGGTCGTCGATACTTATAGGCCATCTACACTCTACGTTTGTTCACTTCTGATTTGCTGAGTGGAAGGGAGTTGACGCAATAATGCTGAAAGTCAGCTTGGTTTTATGTTTTCTGGTAAGTCTTGATATTATGTTTGATGACGCAAGCTACTAGCCACGTGGAGTATAATGTGTTTCAGTGGGTTTAAGAATAACGGTGCATCTCAAGGAAAAAAAACCCCATAAAACCCCCAAGAAAACATATTATTATTTTCTTTTACATTTTGGAACCATGGACTAACCTTGAGTCAAAGCTTGCTTGGAAGATCTAGAAGTTATAACAGTAACCTATTTGTGTCACAACCTGGTGGAATAAGGCGAATGGTCAATTTTGGATCATATGAGTTATCGGTATAATCTTGAAGCCTGTTTATTTGCCTTGCATTTGATGACAAAATTATATCTTAAATAGAAGTCGAAATATTTGCAGTTTAAAGAGCTGGGGTCACCTTGTGTCAGAAGTAGAATAAGCTAGGAATTGGCTGCCGAAGATTGGTCACTTTCAAAGCTTGTGTGTCCTTAAAATCTGCAAATTTACAAGTTTTTGTGTCTTTTTTCTTTAAAATCCAAACAGAAAAGTGTTTTAAATGGACATAGAATGTGGGAATATGTTAAGCCCCCCCCCCCCCCCCCCCCCTAAGAAAACCCATTGAAAAAAGTTTGAGAAACGAAAGAATCCGTATTACCACTATCAGTTGGTGTAGTAACATCTTCAACAATGAGCGTTGATTCTTGGAGACTGTTTTTTAGAGAGTGAACCATCTATTATTGAACCATCAGATTGCTTACTATCTTCAAGTGAACTTTTTTCCGTGTACTATCTTAGAGTGAACTATTTTTCTATGCACTGTCTTTGATCAAATTATTTTGCTTTCTACTGTCTTTGAGTGAACTTTTTTAAAAAGATCGTAACGATTGGGGTGAGGATACTTGATTAGCAGTTTGACGATATAACATATTCAATAGATTTTATGAAAGAAGCGACCTTCAGTGATCCATGTGTACATGCTATTAGATCTATATCTAGAGCTAGCAAACTAATTTCTGAATCAAAACAGTCAGCAGCGGACATTGACGAAAATTTAACGGAGGTGGGATTGATAAAGATGTTGATACTACGAGTTGAAAACGAAATCAATATATTATTATGAAACTAAAATGTAGAATGCAGCTAGACAAAGACGGTTAATAAACAATAGGTAGAGTATTTGGAAGATATAATGCGGGTAGTTCTAATTCAAATCAAAAACAAATTTCACCTTATTCTCCGAGGAATTAAAGTCCCATAGCCTGAATTATCGGCTTTGTGTGTTTACAGGCTGATCATTACGCTCGACTTGACAAACTCTTTTAAACCTAATCAACAGGCCAGGGAAGTGATGAATGGTGAAGAACTGAAAACACTGGCAAGTTGCATTGGTTGTAAAATTAGGAAAACATAATAAACACATTTCCCTACACTAGGAAAACATAATTAACACATTCTCTTGAAGAAATGAAATGAGTCCTTATCATTTTCGTCTACATGAGCAGAGTAAACCTGACCCACTACGACTACTTCACTTGGAGCCCAGGTTTACATACATGTTTCTGCTCGACGACGACGTAAAGAGAAATGCTCTTGGCGGTTTTCACTTTTTGTATCATTTCCCAAACAACGCAACAGTCATACATTACGGAGATCCTAATCATTGCATCCAAAGTATAAAACCATATTATTATTAGATAACCATCATCTCAAAAAGAAACTTACCAAAATTGTGTTAACCAAAGCAGGACATTTGTATTGATGAAGCAATAGTGTATTTCAATGGCCCGCCCTTATTTAAGGTCTATCTGGGGGGCTCTCGTGGCCTAAAGGTTAAGCTGTTCGCCTCTCATTCAAAGGTCCAGGGTTCGAATCCGGTAAGCGACGGAAAAAATGTTCTTCTCTAAAATTGTCTCCTCTCACCTCCTTTCCTGCTCTCTACCAATGTCCTGTCGTCTGCTTTCGTCTCCACTTTCTGACCCCACCCGCCCACCTCCTTTGCCCCCTCCTCTGCGCTCCTGACTCTTTCTACGGCCTTTCTAGTGCTACTCCTTGGCTCCTTCTTATTGCTGTCTTTTAGCAACATCCCTAATCTTCTGGTAGGAAAGATCTACACCTATCCTTCTCGGACAAGGGCGAAAAACCTCAGAGGTCCCGTGTGCAAGCTGCGCACGTTAAAGATCCCCTGGTGGTCTAAAATCGATAAGAGGCCGCCACCCGGGCCAAATTCAAAATTTCCCATTAACTGAAAATGTTTAATGTGTCCCTCGCGCTCATTTGACCTTATGCAGTTGCGAGCGCCGTAAAACACTGATAAAAATGTCTATAAAAAAGACAAACCTACTAAAGGAGGGTTCAAATTTGCTAAACAAATGTAGGCCACATTTTGGTTTGTGTCAGGAGTTTTACGGCGTTGGCAACGGCATAAGGTCTTATGAGTGCTCCCTGTGAATTCATTGGGGCAAAAGACGAATCCACAATAACACATGGGTGTGACCGTGAGTTTGATGATAAAGTTCTTGTAAAAGATGCCACCGGCTCCACACCAACCCCTCACTTACAAACACCCAAATTACAATTCATTCTATACTGAAAATAATACCAGCTTAACGGACATGTTCTACAAGGTTTTTGAAACGGCTATGATTTGGTATTTCTAGGCTTTGATGCAACTTAGAAGGTGAGATGGAAACTTTGCTTGTTTCGGCAATGTATAATCCAACCCCGTTGTCTAATAATACGTGAAGGTGTTTGGTCCAAAACCCACTTTACTTGCTACTCAATACTACAAACAGTATATTCGTTGACAATTTTAGGAAAAGCCATTTACGCATGAAAGGAGATTTGTTTGCATTTTTCGTTATAAAAATGAAACTTGAATCTGCATACTACTTTTTGAATGAGAAAACCGAAAAGCGGAACATGCCAACATGCTCGACGATGATTGGCTCGTAGTGACGAATAAAACATAATATATTAACGCTTCGCCATTAGATGTGATGACTTAACAGAATTTGACAATGTTTTCCTCTTGGTCTACGGAGCTTAAAACCCAGTTTCGTTTTCTCCGTGACAAGGGATAACGCGATTTAGTATCATTTAGTAGGATCACAAACTGCAACTACCAGTGGGATAAACGCAGATGTCGGAATCAAGCTATGGAAGAAAACATTTTTTTTCAAATTTTGACCAAGTAGATTTCGCAAGAATCCTCTCAGAAAATAAAACGGAACGTGCTAGAATGTAAAAAGAAAGGTAAAAACTAGCAAAAGAAGTCAACGGTAGGATTATAAAAAATATAATATCTTTTAGAAACGTTGAGGGCTACATCACTGAAAAAGAACTTGTAATTATAACAATTAACTAGAGAGTTCTTCAATTTTCTAAATAGTTTTTGTTGTCGTTTCTTCTGTAGAGAAAAATAAAACTTAAGATCAAATAGTTTCACGTGTTTTGACGTAGTCAGTGAAAATGAAGTGAGATCTAAATTTGCCAACTTAAAAACTGCCAAAGATATTTCCCAATAACGAACCATGGGTGACGAAAACTTGACAGACATTTTGAAAGAAAATAAAAATGCGTTCAGAGATAAAAATACTGAGAAAGTAGAAGTCTTGTCCTGGCAAATAAAACGGCACATACTGAATGAGAAATAGGTCGAGCAATTTCATTTTTTTGACAATCAGTGATAACGAAGTGAGATCTAGGTTAAGAAACATAAAAACTGCCAAACATGAGACCCTGATAGGATTAAATAGGGGGGGAGGGGGGGATGCTGAGGGAATCGTTTAACTAGTTTACTCCAACAAATACCTACCTTTATTTGGAAAAAATCTCAATTCTTAGGGAAGACACATGAAATTGTACCTAAAAAGTATCGTATTTTACCTATAAATGATTTGAGGACCCTTGCTGTGACATCCATTACATTTAAATGCTTTGAGAAAGTAATCTTAGGCACTATCTTGAATAAGGCTCGTGTAAATCTGGATCACTTATAATTTGCTTATAAAGAGAAAACAATGCTGGCCATTAGATGTGCTGGCTTTTCTTGATAACATTATCAAACACCTTGAAATCTCTACTCATGACAGAGGTTGGTGTCAATGTTACACCTGCCTTTAAATGAAACTCAGCCTTTTGATTGAATGTTTTGCAATGAAATCTGAAAGTTTACGTGTATACCACATCATGGATATTGGATTTTCTCAGTGCTAGGCCATAGCATGGAAAGTTTAATAAAACCGTCTCAAATATGTTAACACAGACATAGGTAACATAGAACTTAGGCTATTGGACCCATATTCGTAAGTTTACAGGTTCGAGGGTTCGAGCCTCAGCTCGGCGGTATTTTGTATCTACGGGGAAGGCACTTTACACGAATTTACTATCTGAATCGGTCCTTTCGAAAACATATGTTTAAGTCAGAGGTCCAGCCCTCTTAAATTAAATAGCCTGATAGTGTTGACAAAGGCGTGATACCAATCTGCAAAAAGCATGGGTGGAGAAGAAAGTTCCGGAAGACTGGCAGTGCGCAATTGTGGTACCAATCTGGAAGAAGAAAGGCAGCAACAAAGACTGCAGCATGTTCTGAGGCATATCCCTCCTGAGCCACAAAAGCAAGATGTACGAAAGATCGTGGAACAGCGTACAAGGCACAAAGTGTGACATTGTAACCTTCACGACCAGGGTCAGGCCGGGATGATCCTGTTAGGCAAGATCAAAGCCCGCACCTCCTATATCATCTGAATTGTGGGGATTGGGGTAGGGGTGGGGCGTATAACACTGTGAATTGAAAATAATGACGCCAAAACCATTTTAAAAGATGGACCTTTCAAAAAAGAAAAGGAAAAGTAAAGGGAAATAATAGTAAACAAAAGGAGAACAACAACAACAACAACAACAACAACAACAACAACAACAACAACAACAACAACAACAACAACAACAGCAGCAGCAGCAGCAACAATTTCAGCCAGACATTCATTTTCTTTTGTTACAGGGTGCCCTCAGTGGAGCTCAGGGTAAGCATTTTTGTTCTGTGTTTGTCACATTTTAGTGTTGACCTTTGGGGATTCGAGAAGTTTAATGTATAATATTACCACAATCAACGCCTGCTTTTTTTTTCTTTCCTTTTTTTTCTTTTTTTTGGGGGTCAAAAGATGTCAAAAATGGAGTTTGAAATTGAACATTGAAGGCCTATGGTCTTATCTGTAGGCTATTACTCTGCACAAAAAAACTAGCTGTGATAGCGGAATTGTTGGAACTTCGTATCGTTTTCCATGTATTAGATTGGGCTGAAAATATTTATATTTAATCTTAAACTTAAAGTAAAGTTGTTCTCACATCCGATCCGGACAATGGGGATGGCTTTGTTAGTTAGACAATTTTCCTGGACCTTCGGCATATTGTGGTAGGGTGGCCAGTTCCTTTCCACGTCGCCTTTACTTCCCCAACTCGAAGTCAGGTACCCATTACTGCTGGGTATGCTAGAGGGGAGCGAAAAAAATCCGTGTCCGAATGGAAGTTCGAACATAGACTCTCCGCATCGGAGACGACAGCACTAACCACTCCGTCACTGCACCCTCTTATAAATTTAACCTTACTCAAAATAATTATTTTCCTACTCGATATACACATACATTGTTAGTTTTAGTGAGGTTTTACGGTGCTCCCAACTGCATAAGGTCATATGAGCACCAAGAGGTGGATGTCAACAGAGAAGTCCAAACGGGGAATCAGGCTTACTCTGCTCACCTCTCCAGCCTCAACAGCACACAGTCCGCTTCAACTGTCAAGGCACCCCGGAAATAGCCGTTCACAAGAGATTGACCAACATACAAAAGAAGAAGAGGAAAAATGAGAAAAGTAAGGATGAGGACAGAAAAAGCAGCCGTTCCCCCTATGTTGTTTCAGCACAGTTTGAGGATGACATTGATAAACAAGCCCATTTACAATCTACTGTACCTAAGAGCATGTTAATACCCCCCCTCCCTTTTTTTTTGGGGGGGGGGGGATGGCCTAAAAACACTTCAGTCAGTAGCACTGCCATGGGAGGGGGCATATGATATATATATATATATATATATATATATATAGAGAGAGAGAGAGAGAGAGAGAGAGAGAGAGAGAGAGAGAGAGAGAGAGAGAGAGAGAGAGATATTATATATATTATATACATATATATTATTAGATATGAAGAGTGAGAGAGAGAGAGAGAGAGAGAGAGAGAGAGAGAGAGAGAGAGAGAGAGAGAGAGAGAGAGAGAGAGAGAGAGAGAGAGAGAGAGAGAGGAGGGAGGAGAGAAGTTGGTCGGAAATTTATAAATACTCGTACAATGTGTAGGGGTTATTTTGTTTTGTTTGGTTTTGGTTTTGGTTTTATTTTTGTTTTGTTTTGTTTTTATTTTGTTTTCCTAACTTCCAGGCAGGTCAAATCCATTATTGTAAACTTTGCCAACAACTTACGGTCTTAGGCGCGAACACCTTGTGCAGCCAGCCCGTAGACATAGCGTTCTTGTTGGACGACTCTAGCAGTATCTCAGCTGTCAACTTTGAGAAAATGATCACCTTTGTGAAGGATCTGGTAGCCCACTTTGACATTAGCCTGACCAGTACCAGAATCGCCGCTATCACCTTTAGCCACAGGGCATTCGTAGAGTTTACTTTTGGAGCTTACAACACACTGGCAGAGGTAAGTCCCAGTCTGATAGTTAGATCAATACAAGTCTGCTGAGGCTGACTTTTTTCGTACTTCTGCCTAAAATAGAAGAAAAAGGTGAATGAAGGTATCCTAATAAAACTGTTCATTCTAAGACAATATTATTCTCCTTTCATCTGATATTCAAAACGTGCCCATTCCACTAATTTTAATATTTTAATACTCTAAAAATACAAGCGCAAACACACTTTTACACTTATTTGATTTTACCCAATTTGGCCAAGTAAAATTTTTAAAGGTCAGTTATGAGTGGCCATATCTCGGGCGACTCCTGCTATAGATGAAACAGTAATGTGTCAAATGATGCAAAATTTATTTAATTTCAAATTAGTATGCTGCATGAGTGGTAATGCAATGCTTTAACTCGATGATTGTATGAATACACTTCCAAGTTTCTTTTGGACACGACTGTGTTTCACCAGTACAAAGAATGTTTCTTTCAGTTTCAATTGGGAACTTAAATTGATTAAAATATGTAAATAGTTTAGACATTAAAGTAATTGTTTTCTCCAGACAAAATATATGAAAAAAAAAGCTTTAAGAATGAAGAAATCTTGCCGATACCTAAATAGTTTATATAGATGTAGAATGTAATTGAACGTTTTTACTGCTAAATATTTACCATTAATTTCTTTCAATCATTAAGTAAAGCCAAGCGTGCTGTGAACTAAAGTTAAAAACAACCAACTTGTGTCCCGCTCATAATTATGAAATTAAGAGTTGCGACCGTTGAAAAACTCCCACCAAAACTCAAAAATCTTTTATCACGACCGCCTCCACCCCCCCCCCCCCCCCCCCCGCCCACCCCGCCAGCATTCTTTGTGCCTAACCTCAGCTTCTTTCTTACTCTTCTCCCAAAATAGGTGGAGCACGGTTTTGACGAAGTTTGTCAGAGAAAAGGGGGAGAGACAATGACCTACATAGGTCTCAAATATGCCCTACAAAGCCTGGAAAACTTCGGTCGACGAGGTAACTGATCTTTCCTCCCATCATGACTGTGGTGCGCATTGCCATGTTCGGCCAATTAATACAATATATTAAACAAATTAAGTCCTGCTAGAGTTCAAATCATTATAAAAACAAACCGAGAATATACAGGTCCTTTTCTATCCGGCTGTTAGTGCTTCTGATGATGATGATGATGATGATGATGATGATGATGATGATGATGATGATGATGGTGGTGGTGGTGATTTTGATGGAATTCGCAGTCATTTTCATCATTTGTCCTTCACTATATAAAAGCAGTCGCCCTCTAATGTTGGATGGGTTTTTTAATAGCCGATTTCCTCTTTATTACAACTTTTAACTCTTGACAGTATTTTACCCCTAGGAATAATTCTGACTATGAACACTGACTATAAGCAGTGACCTCATTCTCTGTTCCAGACGTCCCGCATATTCTGATCACCATCACAGACGGAGTGTCCAACAACCGGGCTGAGACAGCCAAAATGGCGAACATGACTCGACAAGAAGGGATTGAAATCTTTGTTATTGGAGTCGGCAGGTAAGTAAATAAGTAAGTAAGTAAGTAAGTAAGTAAGTAAGCACGCAAGCACGCAAGCCAGCGAGCCAGCGAGCAAGTAAGCAAGCAGGCAAGCAAGTCAGCAGGCAAGTAAGTTTGTTCAGTGTTAAAGCCATTGCCCACATCACATCATATAAAACACTCATTTCTTAAAAAGAGTTTCCATAATGAAATTGTACAGGTTGTATCTTATCGTAGGTCAACAAACATTGCATACTTCTGTCACTGGGCCGAGTCAGGCTGGGAGGAATTAACAATTTACTTTGAAGGGCGATATTTGAACTATAGAAATTAGAAATTAAAGTGAAATTCATCTTCAATTTCATGAGAGTTACACCTCTCACATAAGGGTGAATTTAATCATTTCCACCAATAAAAATGGTTATATAAAGCTATGAGTTTCTAACAAGGCTATGACTTCTGTTCTAATACCATATGAGGTTGATGATATACCCAGCTGGGTTTTTTTAAACTAAAAAAATAAATTATACTTGCGCCATACTTCTTCCTCTATGTTCTGCACAGAGTGATCAACAAACCTTTGTTTCACTTCAATGAGGAATAATAATTTGGTGCTTCCAATACTTTGAGAAAACAAGGCATATCCAAACCCCAGGGGAAATAATAGGTTTTTAACTTCAATAGCCCAGTTGACTCTGCCCAGTTCAAAGGAATGATATAATTGTATGTAACATGTCTTTGGATATCTGCCATTTTCTAAGTGTACACGTCTGCTCTAGAATTTAAAGAGACATTGCATATAATCAGAACATCAATTGGCTCTTCCCACTTCTCTTAGAACTAAATACGTTGGTGTATCTTTTCCAAGACTCATAAAGGCTTTCCAGAAATTTACCTGAATCACGTCCCAATTTTTGGTACCTCAAATTTCAGAGCCATAAAGCAGCATTGGTTTAATCTTTATGTCAAAAATGTTTTTTGATGTTTGAAATGTATTCCTTGGTATGAACAGAAAAGCCTATTTGGTTGAGAAAATTAATCCGATGGAGCGTTACAGGCTCGATCTTCTAGCGTTCGTCTCCAGTATAGACGCGATGAAAATGAAAAGCCAAAGTACTTGTAATAGGTTATTGTCCCTAAATCTTACCCTCCCAATACCATCTCTCAGATCTTTTGACGTTACCTCCATTTCTAAAAACAACTATCATACTTTTATCCGTATTAACTTTAAACCCTGTGTCATGTAGAAGTCATAATATAACAAGCTGATTTTTTTTTTGTAAACCTCTGATATTATCGTCAAAAAGACTTAAATCATCAGGGTACATTAAACATATTATAATACCAAAAACATCAGTGGGCAGTACCTGTATAGCATGGGTGGGCATTTGATTTTTAAAGATTTTTTTTTCTCTAATTGAAAAATAGATCAATAAAATAATGTAGGGCTATGTATGCTGTCTTGTTTGACACCTGATGAACAATTGAGGTATTCAGTGGTATAAAATTTCATGGATCCTCGTTCTTCTGAGGAGACTTTAGCACATGAAAGAACACTTTGATACATATTTTTCTAAATAGTATACCTTGGTCCAAAACAGCAAAGACGTCTTAATACTGTCCAAAGCTTTTCTCTCTCAACTCTATCAAATGCTTTTTAAAAAGTCGACAAAATATATTATATGGAATCTTCCGTAAGGCTTAGAAATATATTTTTGGAGTCGACTTGTGAAACAATTCGAAACGCTTTGGCTGTTAACATGCAGTTAATGAAAAGAACAGTTTATTGGTTGTAAATGCGTGAACCCTCTTCGATATAAATAAAATAATGTTGGATGCAGGCTACTATAACATTGTCTGTTGAGATTCTGCTTCCCAAATACCTTTCACTAGCAACAAGCTGTAGCAGTTTTTGTCCAGTGTTATATCTACCTCTTGGCCAAGTACCTGCTGTTAATACTTATTTGACACCAAGTTCTTTTCAAAAAGGTGTTTGTGCCTGTTCTCTAGCGTCTCTGCAGAGAAAAATCTAATATTTTCAGCTAGCTCATTTTAGAGTAACTTCTTGGTATGGGACTTCTTGGCGGGAAAATGAATGAAAATTAATGTATAGAATTCCCCCTCCCCCCTCTTTTTCATCGTCAACTCTCGAACCGAGCCTCTCGCCCATTTAAACAAAACACAACCG